TATATATATATATATATATACACACACACACACACACACACTAGCCTTTTACCCGTGCCAAACAATGAGTGCGTATAGTTTCTTTCAGTATTATTTCTATTCGGTAACATGTATGATTGGATACCCGATTTTGACACGAAGATAATAAAAAGGTAAACCCCTAACAGTGAAATCTAATTTGCTTTGAAGACACACATTTTTATCAGTGATCAAAATTACTTTTGAATTTTGAATATGAGTTATTATTTTATGGTATTAATTCTTATTTAACTATTATTTAGAGTATACATTTAAAATGATAATTTATTTTTCAATAATTTACTTCTAAAATGATGTTTTTTTATCACAAGCATGTTTATATATATATATATATATATATATATATATATATATATAAACATGTTTGGATACATTTCTTTATAAAAACGTGTTTGAATATATTTTTTTTATAAAATACGTGTTTGAATACAAATGCGGTTATAATAAAATAGGTGTTTATAAAAAATATATAAATATGTTTTTACAAAAGAAATGTATACAAACACTTATTGGGTGCATATAAATATGTTTTTACAAAATGTATATATAATAAAATAGATGTTTGTATACAATTTTTTTTTTTTTTTTGTAAAATACGTGTTTGTATATATTTTTTATAAAAATGGATTTTTATATATTATGTAATTAATAAATACCTATTTTTATAAATAGGTATTTCATATACAGAAATGTTTTTTTTTAAAAAAATAGTACAGAAAATAGAAGATTTTTTATATGAAAATATATATATATATATATATATATATATATATTTTTTTTTTTTTTTATAAATATGAATTTATAAAGAAAAAATATATCCAATTTTTTTTTTGAGAAAAAATGTTGTAAAAAAAAACTAAAGTTATGATGAATTCATAACAAAATTCTGAAATTTAGGCCAAAATGGTAAATTATAGACTAAATTTGTAATAAAATTTAAAATTTGGGCCAAAAGTGTAATTTTTTAAAGTTGGATGACCCGTTGACCCGGTAAAAGGGTTAAATTGAATACGATTACCGGTTTTTGAGACTTAATTGAATAAAAAAAATATATAATGACTAAATCGATTATGAGACCAATATATACGAATTTTTTTTGCAGTTTTCCCCCAAGAAAATGCTTTAAAAATAAGCATGAAAACATACAAATTTTTATGCCGAAACCTAGATAAAGTCGGAGGATAGAAAAATCAGATTATATATAATATGGGCGAGGAACTCTTTCAAAGACAAAACCGAGGTGGTGAAAGTGATATTTTATAAAGTTAAATGTGTTAAATATAAAAGAAAAATCAGATTATATATAGTATAGGGGTAAATACGAAAGTTTAGAAAATAAAAAGTGTGGAAGTGACAATTTAGAAAGTTTTTAAAGTTTAAGGGGGTAAAAATGTAATTTTGAAAAATAAAGGATACAAAGAGTTCTTTTATAAACTAAAAGGAAACAAATGATAGAAATAAAAATGTAGGGATTATTAAAAGAAAAGTCGGGCCACCGACTTTCCTTTTTAGAATATGTATATATAATAATAACTAGAAGGGGTCCCCCGCGTTGCGGGGGTTGGAAGGTGTTTGGTAGCCATAGTAAAGTATGTTGCTATTCTCTACAATTCGGCCATTTACAAATGCATAATAGTCAAATATGTTGAACTATGTTATAGAAAGTGAATGTACATTGTTATTTCTTAATTACATTAATATAGATGAAAAAGAAATCAATGAAGGTACATTGCTTTTAGCTAACAAATTGTAATAACAGTAATGAGTAACACCACCCACCTGAGTAGATTTGTAAGCTAACAAATTGCTTTTAGCAACATCTTTCCTATCAGCACCTGTCT